CACGCACGCACGCACGCACGCACGCACTCACTCATGCAGACACAGAGGGGTGAGAGGAGGAGGAGGAGAGGGGAGGAGGAGGAAGAAGAGGAGGAGGAAGAAGAGGAAGAGGAAGAGGAAGAAGAAGAAGAAGAAGAAGAAGAAGAGTTAGTCTCTGAAGGTGAGTCTACAGCATTTGTGGGCAATTCTGAATTCATTGGTTTGTTATCTAATTTTGTAAGATACTGTTTGCCTGGACAGTCATCCCTTTCAAAAGCCACTTTATTAAGAACCAAGGAGCCTCTTGGAGAGCTAAGTGCACAAGCCATTCCTAGCCTCCTCCAGGCTGCACATACCTAGTCTCCTGCCTTCTCCTCAGCCACCAAACACTGGAAGAGGATTTTATCTGAGTTTGACTTTGGCAATTCTGGAAAAAGGCAAATGACCATTGTACAGGGGTCTTGGGTTTTAGGGGACAAGGAATGTATAACACAGAGCCCTTGACTCACAGAGAAATTTCTTCTCAGTCAGTGTGCCCAAGCTCTTCATAGGTGGAAAGAAACAGGTCCTCATGGGCCAGGTGTCAGCATCCCACAGCTGATTAACTAGGGAAATCCCTAGTTTGAGGACTTTAGAGTCCTCCTGGCTCAAATCATTTTAAAGATAAGGTGTCAGGAGGTTGGAGAGATGGCTCAACAGTTAAGAGGGAGCAGAGCTCATGCAGAGGACCCTGCTTTCATGCCCAGCACCCACATCAGGTGGCTCACAACTACCTGTAACTCCTGTTTTTAATCCCTCTTTTGCCCTCTGCAGGCACCTACGATCACACATGAGTGCACACACACACACACACACACACACACACACACACACCATACACTCACAAACACATACATACAAGCAAACAGATTATTACAATCAAGTCCATTTACTGGCATGCAAAGTCAAAGTCCGAGAGCCCACCCTAGGCAGTGACTCTTTTCAACATCAGTTGCTTTTGCCTTCAGTGAGTCAGGCCTGGGCTGGGTCCTAGAGATTCCCCCACTTTGACTGGCTCACAATCTGAAGGAGTCGAAGAGAGAAAGGCAACCAGCCTAACATGTGAGAAGAGGCCTGAGCCCAGATACTTAAGGTCAAAGGTCTGGGCATAGGCTTCTCATTCACAGGGGCTCCGTCTATCTCAGACTACAAGCCAGGGGTTACCCACCAGCAAGGCATTTTTGTTCTTAGTCCCCACCCTCGAGGGATGAAAGATATTCGTAGCTGGCCCCTGCTATGAATACACATGTCAGGGACCTGGACCTTGAGGCCTGCTCTTCTCGGGTCATCTGTGATGGCGTCTCTCCAAGAGCCATCAGCAAGGTCCATCTAGTAGATGTTTCCCCATGTAAAGAGAGTGTGAATCATGGTTGCCAGCTATTCTTTAGCATCTCACCTTCCTTCTTGGTCTCTGTTGGCCCCTACCTACCAACCAGTGTGTCAGGGAATCCACGAAGGGAAGACAAATTGTTGACTCAATGGCTTGGAAGTTCCTGCTAGCAAAGCAGCTTTGTACTATCCAGCCCCGCTCCCACCCCCCCAGCCACAATGCACTTCCTCTTTTGTTATTTTTCTCTGTGGCACTGTCTTCCTTCACATTACAGAGTCTTAATAGCCATTCTGACGGCTTCAGGGTCCCTAGCTCCCCTACAATAGCAGCGTCTTCACAAGCCACCCCTCTGATGAGTCATAAATAGAACGAGAAACTTAAATCTGCATGCCATTGTACCAGGTTGCACTCTGAGGCAATGAAGGTTCAGATATTGCAGCCTCTCTGCAGAATCAAAAATCCCACACAGGAGAAAAATCAAATGAGAAGCCTCCCCAATTATCACAGCAAGCCCTTCTAAAAGTTCTCCCCTGCTTGCTTTTGATCCCCATGTTTATAAGGAAACAAAAAGGCGTGTTTCTGCAGTATTACGCTTAATGTTTTATTGATGAAGGACCAGGAGCCTCTTAGATGTTCAGAGTCTAAACGAGCAGGGAAGCAAAGCCTATAGCGACTGAGCAGAGAAGCAAGCGACAGCTGGGTGGGCCAGCAGGTTGCTGATAAGCGCTTGGGGCCACTGCGATCATTAAGCAAGAGGCTTCTCAGGAACATCAAAAGCATGTCATTAAAGGCACCTTTCCAATCAAAGTCCCTTGGTTTGCCTGAAGAGCAGGAGAGACTTTCATGCTTGTATTTTATGACGAGAAGAGAATAGCTTTAATTTCTTGCCGCTGATATTTTTAAGTCATAATTTTCCTCTAGTAACATTCCAAATTTTGAGCATTAAAAGCTCTCTGCTAATTTAATCCCTAAAGGAGCAGAAATTAATGTCAAAAGAAAACTTCAGATGGAAAGTTTAAAAAAATAAAGTGATGAGGTTTTTGAAGGCAAACTCGTCCACCTTTGCCATACTTTCTCTGTGTCCTGGTTCTCAACTCAGAAACACTCAGAGACAGAAAACTCTACTGGAACAGGGATTCTGCTCCAAACCCCTACATTTGGCCTTTGTGTCAGGGAATTAAATGTCACACCTGTAATTCCAGCAAAAACCTCCAAAGAGACCCTTATGTACAGGCACTCAAGGGTTACCACAATGAAATTAACTGTGTATTCTGTCTCACAGTTGTGTATTTTATTTAGTACTTTCAGAGATATACAAACTTTAAAAGTGTAGTACTTTCATGCCCCCCCCTCAAAAAAAAAAAAAACAAAAAAGCCTTCCTTCTGCCTGGAGAACACAGTTTTCTATTTGTAAAAGTGGGAATGGTCATCTAGAACTTCCTGGTTTTCTTTATGTACAAAGAAGAAAGCAAAAATCTCACTTATGAGCCAACTAATCACAACCATGGTGACATCCTGTGGATGTCTCAGCACCTTTCCTTTTGCTTGTGAGCACACATACAGTCTGTTTTATAGGAGTGTCTTCATGCCATATAAATGTAATTTTGTCACAGGTGTATACTGCCGTGTAAAAGGGCATATTCAAGTCAGTGGTCTGTGTGGAAGTCTCTAATTGCACAGATCTGACCATGGGAAGAGGCTGGACCACACTGTCACATAGCCTCAGGCAGCCATGCCCATGTATGATCTGTGTGCCAATGAAACCACTGGGCTTTGCTGATTCAGCTTAGCTTGACAAAGACTCACAGTGATGAGCATACCACTGCCATTGTCACTGGAAAGGGATGGCACAGAAGGTTCGGATGTTCCTTTACGTTGAGGGTGAAGTTCACCGTAACTTCTGCGGCATTGTGCATTCGGTGCTGTATACCTCAGTGTGTCAGCTGTTTAGTCTGAGGCCTTCACAAGGTAATTGAGCTAAGACTGAGATATTCTTGAGTCCTAATCCAGTGTGACTCTGGGAAGGACAATTTGGACACAGACACGGTTACAGAGAAAGGACATCATCCCCATAGAACCAAGCCCACTGCTGGTCCCAACATTCATTTCCTGTCTGCTCTAAGGTGTCTAATGTTTCTCCACATAGCCCTAGAATGTAATCACACAGACTCTGGAACAGGGGCAGGTCATGGGGTTTAATACGGAGGGGAGGGGACAGGCCTGGTGGCACACACCTGTGATCCCACTATTTGAACCACTGAGGCAGGAAGATGAGTTCATGACTAGAAGTAAAAACCAGTGGATCCATAAATGAAAAGAGGAAACCCTTCTGTCTGTGATGCTGGTCCACAGGGAGCCTAAACATGGTCTTTTCGTAGCTGAATGGTGCTATGTGTGTGCCTCAGCACCGTGGTTGCTGTACCTGGTCAACCTCTTCAAGGAGCATTGGAAAGCATGTCCCCACAGCTACTATGAGAATACAAAGGTAGAACACTAGTTTTTAAGCTGCAGCGTCTCCCTGGGTCAGTTATTCAGTTGTTGGCCCCAGTGAAGGTTTCCTGGACCCCTGATTCTGCCACAGGTATGCTTTTTGATTTTTGGTGCAAATTACAGATTGTATTTCTTTATTCTAGGATAGGGACCTGCAGGCCGGAGAGGCACTGATGACCAGAACACAGTGAGGGTGGGAACTGGGGGACTCAATGGCGCCATCGCATGTGAACGTCAGGCTCGATCGCTTCAAGGCTGAGGTTGGATGAAGGCCACATGAACTGTCAGGACTGATCCATCCTGGGGCTCCTCAAAAACTCCCACACTGGGTAACATCACACTTTCTTCATCTGAAGAAACCCCATTCCTCCCACGCAATCTCCCCCACTGAGTACCTGATTTTGAGTCATTTCCTTAGATTACACTCATGACGAAGGTCACTAGGGTAAAGACCATCTATCTACACGCTTGTCACAGTTGACAAAGATGACAGTGGTGACCAGATATCCAGAAGTTTTGGGGTGTATTGTCACAGAACATGCAGAAGGCACCTGACACCCACAGAGAAGAGCAGAACAGAAGATATTCGCTTCTCTCCCTGCTCTGAGAAGTAATGGATGACCAGCCAGAGGGCAGGAGTAAGAAAGAGGGTGGACAACTGTCAGTAAGAAAGACAAAGGCAGCCACGGGAACAAGGCTCACCTGCAGCAGCTCATTTGAGGATGTTTACCTTGTGAAGACGATGGGGGGTGGGGAGCCAACAGGCAGAGACAGCTTTCAAGAGCGGAATGAAAGTCACACCACAAGGCAATTGAGAAAAGCAGAAAGTCTGTCTGTCCCTCCTGTGAGGTGGGATTTCTTTCAGTTCTTTTACATCCCAAGGCTAGAGGAGCAGAAAAGTCTCGTGGGGACAACTGAGATTTCAGAAACTGGCCACAGAGAGGTATGCGTCTCTTCACCGCTGTCAACAGTAACAAGACCATTCCCTTCTCCCATCATCCATTGCATCATAGATAAGCCCTGTACAGTGTTGGGCTGGGTGTACTCAAAGAGGAACAAAGAATAACTGGAGACCACTGCATTCGTCACCATTGCTGTTGCTAACTTGACAAAAAGCAATGGAAGGAAGGGTTTATTTTGGCTTACAGTTCCAGGGCTAACAGTGTGAGGGTACAGTCCATCATGGTGGCAGAGGCCTGGCGTGAGGGTATGAAGAGGCAGCTGGTCACACTGCAGCCATGGTCAAGAAGCAGAAAATGGCAGGGCAGGGTAGTGGTGCACACCTTTAATCCCAGTACTCAGGGAGGCAGGGGCAGGTGGATCTCCATGAGTTTGAGGCCAGCCTGGTCTATAGGACAACCAGAGTGGTTACACAGATAAACCCTGTCTCAAGAAAGGAAGGAAGGAAGGAAGGAAGGAAGGAAGGAAGGAAGGAAGGGAGAAAGAAAGAAAGAAAGAAAGAAAGAAAGAAAGAAAGAAAGAAAGAAAGAGGCAGGTAAACACTGGTTCTCAGTTCACTTTCTCCTTTTTATTCAGAGATCTCAACCCATGGAAGGATGTCACCAACATTGACAATGAGTCTTCCTACCTTTGTTGACCCAGAAATTCCCTCCCAGATGTGTTCAGCATTCTGTTTCCATAGCAATTCTAAATGTCATCAACTTGATAACCAAAAACAGTCATCATAATTTCTGAATGAAATCACACACAGCTGGAAGAATCTTTCTCTGCTGCTTCCTGAGTGCTGAAAGACCCACATCTGGCTATACCAACCCTCATGTGGCTGAATCAATAAAGACAACTGCTATGCTCCATGACTTCAAGTGAACACACAGGAATATGCGGAAAAAGAAGACACAAGCCAAATCCATCACTGCCCAGGAGAACTCCAGAGTAAGGCTGAGTGAATGGATGCTACCTCAAGTCTAGCAAACCCATTTTCATTTCCTCTATCAGTTCAAAGCTCTGTCTTCAAATACAAATGACTACGTGTTCCCCTTTACAAGAGCATTGACTCAGCACTGCTAGAGAAATGGCCCTGTGGAAGATACAATGCCAAGGTTCCAGCTGACAGATGCAAAGCTTGAGGTAGGAAGAGGTTTGGAAGCACACACACAAATTTGACTACCAAGTGGTATGACAATGGAATTTAAATGGACCAGCTTGGAAGTCCAGCACTTGACTCTTACCCTTGCCTCTTTACAGGGGAAAGCCTTGGCTTAGAAGATGAAGGACCTGACTGTGAGGTGCCTCCTACCACCTATGATCCATCCGTATGCAGACTGGGGTCATCGTTGCCCCTCATTTTAAGAATGAAGCAACTGCAAAAGGAAAGGAAATTGATGATGTCACACACAGTTCTACATGGAGTGGTATCCAGGACATTTTAGGGAACAAGATGGGCTAAGCACATTTCACAAGCTTGCCTTAGAACCTGATGGTGAAAACATCTGTGGGCAGAGTCTGCCCTGCCCTGACAGGTTCACAGGCCTGTGTCAGGCACCTGTGAGAACAGGGCTCTGAGAGTAGGAAAAGCCCTTGGTGACTCCTGACCTTTGATCACATAGTTGTGAACTTCATCACGTGAACACCATTCCTACAGAGCCAAAGCTTCCTGATCTCTTGCTAAATGCAAATGCTTTTTTAGCACTGTGTGGTGCTAAATGTGCTTCTCTCAGAAGGGTATGCCAAGCTTCCGAAGCAGGATACTTTCTTTTTTTGGTATTAAAAAAATTGCCAGACTTTCCCCCCCACCTAAATGAAAATAACTTCACAAAATTGTAGAAGGCTGAGGTTGTATACCTTTGGAAGAAAGGAGGATGCTTTGTCCTAAATTAGCTATCAGAGCTGAATACTTAAAAACCAAGGCAGATTAGACAACAGGCCAAAGCCAGAAAGATAACTCGGTTGGCAAAATGCTCACAAAGAAAGCATGAGGACATGAGTTCAGATCCTTGGAACCATGTGAAAAAGCCAGGTGTGATGGTATATTTATAATCCTGTTGCTGGGGAGGTGGGACAAGGAGGATTTCTGGGGCTCACTAGCCAACCAGCCTAGCCTAATTGATGGACTTCGGATTCAACAAGATACCCTGTCTTCAAAGGACATGGACAGCATTCCTGAGGATGGCACCCAAGGACGTCTTCTAGCCTCCACACATACACACGTGTGTACACACACACACACACACACACACACACACTATTATTAGTCAATTTCATAATCTAATTATTCACATAATTCTTGGGGTCAGCTGATTGACCCCTGAATAAATGAATTTCTCATTTGAGCATCACACACTAGGGTCGGCCCAGAAGCTTCTCCAGACTTGGGAGAAAGACTCAGTATGCCTGCTTCTAGGGTCAGGCATGGGCCATCTCAAAGCCTTCCAGTTCACATGGAAATAATAGACTATGTGTCTAAAGCCAAATACCCCACCAGGGTGACAGAATCACATTTCAGTATTAATTTCTTTCATTTTCTTTTTAACTTTTGCTTGTTTTCATCAAAAAGCTACCAAGGCTCTTATGTTGACCAGGGTTGTCCACAGGGTAAAGTGACTCTGGCAACTCTGTCAGACTACACCCTAAAAAGGACCTCAATTGGGTCTAATGTTGTTGTCACATCTTAATATTCTTAAGAAAGTTTAACAAGGAAATTTGGGAGTTTTTATTCACAAATTGTCACAACCCTGATCCCAGTCTTCTTAGATGTCCCAATCTTGAGCTACAACCCTTCCACAGAGCCATGGGAGAGAACTAAGGGGAAGGAGTGGGATTAACAGTTGATGTCTTTAAGTCTCCTCCTTTCCGCTAGACCTGCTGGTCGCTTCCATCCACAGCCCACATCTCATTCTGCATTGTGATTCTGAAGGGACCCAGCAAGCCAGAACAAGGGTCCCCAAGGCCACTTCTCACAGCGCTGAAGTCACTTTAGGCTGCATCTCTGTGTGTCTGTGTATAAATTCTAAGTCTTCATCCAGAATTCAACTGTAGGGAAATGCTCACATGAGCCTCCCCCAGAACTGACTCTTGGCAAGAACTCCGCAGAGAAATGATGACATGAGAATTTATTATAAATAAATAAATAAATAAATAAATAAATAAATAAATAAATACCAGATGTCTGTCTTTGCCCCTAGAATGAAACAGGCTAGTTTGGAAGATGAGAGATATGAAACCCCAATGGGGTCGGGGAAGCAGCTATGAACTTGAAGGAGGCACTTGGTGGAGGTGTCTGACAATTTGCTACAGCTATTTTAAGAAATATTCTTCAAAAAGAGGCAAAATAGCCTACATTTCTAATGTGGAGAACACTGACAGGAAAAAAAATTTGAGAGATAGCCCTAGATTAGCTAGAGATTTTCACAGGGATGATGCAGATGTGGGAACTGGGTTATAAATAGAAGCTGAGTCCATCCGAGGG